GTAAAACATACATGTGTAGAAGCTTTATAGTGAACAGAAAACAGTTGAAAACTATTTCAATTTCAGTATCAAATTGAACTGTCAGTCAACACACACAGATATGAAATAAATTGTACTTGTTCATCTCGGTCGAAGATCTCCAGGAAAATTCCAGCTGTATTATGCTGGCTATATGCTATTATTTTAGCTTTACTGTTTTTATACATATTTTCAGAAATAATGGAGTAGAATATTCTATATTAGAAATAATGTCTTGATGGTTGGTGTTGCTTAGTTAGGCAATGTAAACTTTGTTCCCACATGCATTGTTTTGGGAGATTTGTTGTGAGCTTATGAGATGACAGCTTTGACTTGGAAAAGTGGAAAACTTGCAACTATCACTACTAGGAAGAATAGCTACCATTAAAATGAACACTCTACTGAGATTATTATACCTGTTCCAAGCAATTCCAATAAAGCTGGAAAAGAAATTAAACAGATTAGTAAAAATTTATTTGGCAAGGTAAAAAAGCAAGAATAAGTCTGAAACTGTTACAAGACTCTAAGAATAGAGGAGGCTTTGGGTTGCCAGATTGGGAGTTATGTTACCAGGCATCTGCACAATGTGGCTAAAAGAATGGATGACCTTGAGACAGACAATTATTAACTTTGGAGGGTCAAGATTTGCAACTGGGGTGGCACACCTTTCTATAGTATGGGAAAAATAAAATACAGTTATTTCCAACATTATATTAGAAATGCTCTGTTTTCAGTATGGGAAAAAAATTAAGGAAACACACTATTTGAATTCCAGTCTGCATGGAGGCATTGATACATTCGAATGTGGTTCATACGGAAAAAATCATAAGGTATAAAGATATTTTGAATGAGAAGGGAATTGAAAAGTAAACAGGAATTGAATAGTCAAGGGATAAATTTTGCATGGTGGCCGCAGGTAAAATTACAATCAAGATATGAAAAAGATGTTAAATTATATAGTTTTTATAAAGAACCAACAGAATTGGACCAGATTCCAATAGGAACTGATGAGAAATGAATTAAAAATTTTTACACTTACCTATTGAGTATTAGAATGAAGAGCAAGTAAAAGAAACAATGATAGTGTGGGCTAAAAACTCTGGTTATTCTATAGAATTGGATAAATGGCAAAAGTTGTGGGATTGAAATTATAAATTAGCTGTCTAATGCATATAAAGAAAATTTATATAAAATGTTCTACAGGTGGCACTTTCCACCAGCAAGATTAGCCAAGATGTATAAAGATATGTCAGTTAAATGTTGGAAGTGTAATCAGACTCCGGGCCTGTACTACCATGTGGTGGATGTGCCCAAAAGCAAAAACTTATTGGACAAAAATACATACTTAGATAGAAAAAATGATAAAGGAACATGTAGATTTAAAACCAGAAATATTTCTGTTGAGTATCATATCAGAAAAATATAATAAAGGGACTATGTATTACATGTATTAACAGCAGCCAGAATTGTATTTGCACAACATTGGAAAGGTGTGGAGATCCCCACAGATGAGAAGATAGTAACAAATGGATAGATTAATACTTGAAATTAAAGAAAAGGAAGGTATGGAATATTTTGAAACACTCATTTTATCTATGAGTTAATAACGGAAGTAGAAGTTAGAATATTTATAAATAAAGGATTAATTTTACCATGAGGGTTTATTATGTTTATTATCAATATGATTAAATATTAACAATTATTAATATGTTGAAAAAATACTGTGTTATGATCACTACTAATGAAATTATGATTATTGCTGAAACTAACTGTAACCAGACAACATACTGTTTATATAGACATTGAATAAATTCACATGACTCTGGGACATTGCAACTGTCATAAATATGAATACTTTGCAAGCATCCAAATTTTTATCACATGACCAAAAGGATGCTGCAATGGTGGTGTTAAAAATCAGTCATGTCACTTTTTAAGTGCCATTGTTACTTTGAATGGTCACTGAATGAACTGTTATAAATTGAGGACTAGTTGTATATTAAAAGCAGGATGAAAATCCAATATTTATAACATTGCCAGGAAAATTGTTGATGTGTGTATGTAGTCATCAGAAATTAAACCTCTTTACATTTTATTGTTGAATAAATCAGTTAGTCTGCGGTTGAATTAAGGTCAACTGATGCTCTAAATCAGAGCCCAACTATGGTGCTTTTTGATGGAAGTCAAAACTCTCACCCCATGAGATGCAAGCAAATATGATACCTTGCCAACATTTCCAAATGGAACTTAAATGTTAATCATTCACCAGGCCAAAGAAAATATTTTTTAAAACAATGCAGATTGTTTAACATGGAAAATAAAGATTAAAGTTAAGTATGACAGTGAAAGTTAAGGGCATGATAGCCAGGGGGAAAACTCTCTTCCCTTTATTTTGCTACTGGTTAATCCAAGATTGAGTTGGTATATATTTACATAACATGCTAAGGCACATCAAGCAAACTGCTCTTTCCCTTGACATGGTGCATAAAATGTGGGAGATCTGATGTGGCTATATTTTAATATGGTAATTATTGTGATTTTTCCGCAGCATTTCCCAAACATTTATTAGGAGTATTCATCCCTACTAAATAGCATATTAATTGTTCACATCAGATTCCAAAGAGGAAAAAAAAGAAAACTAGATGAAAAGTGTCTTTGAAATTTATGAGAGATTGGTTGCATTTTTCTCATTCACTTTCATTCTGACCTTAGCAGTTCCAGTTTTAAAATAGTGTAAGACACAAATATAATCTATAATGCCTCAGTCATATCATCTTGGTGATGATGCAGCCATGGACAAACACACATGAATTCCTATTGACTGGCTGAAACTGCTGTATATAGGTTGTCTCCCCTCATCATTACCTTCTATAATTATTTTGGCTTATGTTGCAGGAGAAACTGGACATTTGGTTTCTGTTAAGATCCTTTTATGTAAGGAGAATGTAATTCCTATGCTTGCAAGTGCCATTCAAATGTTATGGGATTTCTTATGTACTGGAATATCACTCATCTGGAAGATAATGCTAATAGTATTGACACATGCTGAGCATTCTTTCAAAAAACCTGCAGATCTGTATTTTAAAGTGTTTCTAGTTCAGTTTAACTGACAATGTGGTATGTTGATGATCCTATCACACAGATAAATTCATTAAAGATTTCCTGCTGCTCCTGCCAAGAGACTTTTCCATGATATGGTTTCTACTGTTATTACTTGTATGGGAGACATTGCCACTTTGCTTACTATATAACAGTATTGCACATATTCCATAGGATGCTTCCAAGTATTGCTGATGGTGACCACTTACTACCTGCCCCGTCTTGACTTGCAGTTCTTAGCAATTTTAAATATTTAAAAGTTGGAGGAGAAATTGAGGGTGTTGTCAATTTCCTATTCTAGCATAAGTGACAGAAAGCTGAATAAACTGTCAGTTTACTGGGTGGAAGATAGGCTAGGATGAAGTAGGAGAATATTCCCTCAATTCATTGCACAAGATAAAGCTCCGTCTGCTGTATCTTGATCCATTCCCTTAACATTGGGAGTGGGGAAAGCAACACATTGCCAAATCTGTCCTTAATTTGTCCAAGAACAAAATCCCTTGCAAGACTCCTATTAAGGCAGATTAAAGACATGTGTCAGGGCAGTGCAAATTATGCCACTACATTATTTGACAATTGAAAAGGTTAAGGAACATTACTCTCTGTGGGGAGCAGCCCACAGTGAGTCCGTAATATGCACATAGCCAGTTAACCCAATACAGGTAGTCCTTAATTTATAACAGTTCATTTAGTGACTGGTCAAAGTTACAATGGAACTGAAAAAAGTGGCTAGATCATTTTTCAGTTACAATCTTTGCAGCATCCCCATGATCATGTGATCACCTTTTGCAACCTTGACAAGCAAAGTCAATGGGGAAGCCAGATTCAATTAACAACTGGGTTACTAATTTAATAACTGCCAGGGATTCACTTAACAACTGTAGCTAGAAACATTGTAAAATGGAGCAAAAAACAACAGAAATCCTGGGCTCAATTGAGGTCATAAGCCGAGAACTATCCATATACCTCACTGAAATGAGAGAATGCAGTACATGAAAGATGAACTTAGGCACATCTCTAGGCTGCTAAAATCCCGATGTAGCAAAGATGCAGGGGGAAAAAATCCTCTGCAGTCCTCCAGTGGTGGTCCAGATTTTGGCACAACCTTAGAGAAAGAGCATAGAAACCTAAGAAAAGCCCTGCCAAAAGAGACGAAAAAGAAAAGTACCGATTCTCTACCATTAGTAAACTGAACCGACCTCCTCTTCCTCCTCACGTCTTTCTTCTATAGCAATCGGCGAAGAGAAATTGACGGTTCTTTCACGTTCAATCCCTCAACCCGCAGCACAATAATATTAATATTAGGGGCCCTACTCCAGCAACCCCGGCGGCGCTTCTTTATGCAACGGAGAGCATCCGTGCCCGCTCAGCGAAAGCGCTTCAGGTGCGTGAGCATGTGCAGAACCAGGGACCGAGGCCCGGAGTCGCCTAATTCTCTCGGCAGCGCGGCGGGTGAATGAGGCAAGCAAAAAGGCCAGCCCGCCCGCCTGCTGTGTCGCACGGGCCCAGCTCCCTCCCCAAGTGTCTCCACCCCCGCGTTGGGCGTCTGCTACTCTCGCCGCTGCTGTTCGCGAGGAGCCCTCCCTCGTCTTTCTCATCCCCGCCCGGAGCTGCTTCTCTCCCGGCGGTTGCTACCGGCTGTTTGCCTCCCGCCGCCGCTCGGCCTGCTGCGAGAGGACGACGTTTCCCTTTGACACATAAACAAGGTAAGGGGGAGGGCAGGCGGAGCAGGGGAGGGGCTCCCTCGCAGCGCCCCGGTCCGCGCCGTCGGAGGCGACACCCGGAGCCTTTCGGCCCAGAGAGAAATGGCAGCGGCTCTCGGGGGCTGAAGCCGGCCTTGGCAGCGGCGGCAAAGAAAGGCGAGCCCCCCTCGCTTAGTTTGGTCCCCCTTTCCTCCGGCCCGTGAATGAGAATCGGGGGGAAGATTCCGTTAAGGGGAATCGCCGCGGGGAAGAAGAGCCGATCTCTGTCTGAACCCCCACCCCGATTCCCTCTCTGTCCGTTGGCGAGCCTGTGATCTGGACAACCGGAGCGGCCGGGAGAGGTTGGTCTCAGACTAGGCGGTCCCACAGGGCTTGGGGGGGGGGGGGGTTTATTTTGGGGGGGGGGGGGGGGGGGGGGGGGGTCCAGCTTTCCTTGTGTTAATCGGTTTACACGAGTGCTGGTGTGTATGTTCGTTATGGGAGCGATTAAGGGAGAGTGACATCAACCGCCCTGGAAAAAAGTCCTCCCCCCCTCCCCCCCTCCCGGTCCGCCGAACTGTAATTTTCCTTCTCAGTTAAACGATTGTGCAACTTGTACACAAGAATGTGGTGTGTGTCGTGAAGGAAGGACGGGGACGGGCAGGGAAATCGGATTGAGCTGGCTGTGGGTTTTTCCCCCAGCGAAGCTTTTGCCTGTCAGGTTTTTTGTTTGGGGGTGGAAGGGAAGCCTCTGCGCTCTCCGGCCCCCGGCCTCTTCATCGGAATATTGACCACATTTGCAAAGAATGAAGAGGGAACAGAAGAGCTTGAAGGGATTGTCCTCCAGTCGCAAAGGGGAATCTTTGAAAATATCATCGGTTCCCCTTCCCCCCCCCCCCGCCCCTGCACCCCACCCCGGTGCAGCCTTGGCTTTGTTGATCATCTTGGAAGGGGAAGTGTACGTGGGTAAGCGAGGCCCTCGTTGCCGGGAAATGAAGCCGCCTCGGCCGGTCTCCTTGTCAATAGGGAAGACATTACTTGCCTCCTAGCTCTCCTCCCCCCCCCTCCAAACCTTTACTTTCGGTTTCTCGTATTATTTCCCGGATGAGCATTGCATACGCACTTACTTGGGAAAGCCTTGCTTAGACGGTCTTGGTGGTTGTGACAGGGCTCCCCCTTCCCCCCCGTTAAATTGCAAAATAACAACATCGGAACCATTGAATATGCTTGGCCTAGTAACATCTGCGACATCTGACAAGACTGGTTATACAAGAAAGTTGTAGATGCATCCCGACCAATTTTCTCTTTACTGCTGGCTCCGTGCTATTGTGTTGTTTTTAAGCATGTTGCGGATTGTTTGGAATATGGGAAAACTGAATGGGGTGTCCCTTCTAAAAGCACTGGTTAAAAAAAACCGAATCAGTTGTTGATCGTTTCTGAAAAGGGGGTTTGCCTTTTACATTTATTTTTGCATTGTTAGTTTGATAGCCTACCTTCTTTATAGAAGCTGTTGCATGAAAATCTTCCTTCAACAACAACCTTATTAAGGTAGTTTGGGCTGAGAGAGGAGGAAGTCAGCCTGTAAGTTTCCATATCTTAGGCTGAAAGGATTTCAACCAGGGTCTCTCCAATTCTAGTTGAAAATTTAAAACATTTGACTATACTGGCCATTCTTTCGTGCATAATCGGTGCATTTGGAATATATTGTACCAATGAAGCCAATTGTGAATGAATGGGTACATAAGCAAAAAGCCATATATGCTTTGTTCTCAAAATATTAGTTATAATGTATAATATAAAGGTTAATTACTTGTATCAGAATATATATTTTGAGAGAAAGTACACTTAATTTTAAGATTGCTACAAAATCAGTATGTTATAATGATTACGGTAATGGACTATGATGAGGGAAACTCAAGAAGTATAGAAAGGTTCTGTGGTTTTAAGGTTAATTTTTATCTCTATTCAACCTACTTGACAGAGTTATTTCCATGGAAAAACATTTGAAAAGTGAGTGTCATGTTTCAAGTAAAACTGCCTTCTGCAGTTGGCTGATGGTACTTTTGTCGATGCTGATGGTGTTCAAATTGGGCTTCATATATTTTGGGATTGTATCTAAGGCACCTATTAGTATTTGGTACCATCTTTGCTTTATTTTGCCACAGTCATTCTATTTCTTTTTGCAGGTCTTTGTAATTTGTTATCTTCTCCAGTTTTCTATTTTTTATTCTGTTGTCTCTGGGTACTACCATGTCTGCTTTCCAGACTTTTCTGTCTTTCAGAATATCGACAGTTGTTAAATCTGGGGTGTTAGGCAGCAGGTGCTTGTCTGTTTGAATTATAAAGTTCCAGAGCACTTTAGCTTGTTCAGTGTCTATTATTATTATGTTTTGTCCAATAGTCAGCAGTTTTTAAACTGGATTTGGCATTTTTATCTACCTATCAAATCCTTCCCAAAGACCTTGGATAGGCAGGTGTTGTTTGTTGGTATTAAAGTTATCATCACAAAATAAAATGCATTTGAGTGATGCTCCACATGTTGGGAATTACAACTAAGGTGCCTATTTTTAGTACTATCTTATCTTTCTTTTTCCAAAGTACTTCCACTTCTACTTCTACTGTCTCCAGGTTCTACCACGTTTCTCTAGTTCTCCATACGTAGGCCAAATTTTCTTTTCTTCTCATTTTTAGTGTCAGTGTTTTATTTTTTAACATTACTTCATTAATTTGACTTTAAAGTAAAAGGAGTCAATATAATTTCATATTGAACCATCCCGTCACTTCTCTTGCTTATCATATAACTTTTCCTGTATGTGCAGGATAGCTATTTTTAGGGAAGGATATCTGATTGATTGGAAATAACTTATTTGGGAATTTTGAATCAGAGAAGAACCCAATTCTTATGAGAAGGATTAAGTAACACTAAATTTATGCACAATCTTAAGGACATCATTCAACATAATTTAATAGTTTTCACATTAAAAATACTGTAATATGTCTTGCTTGATATATAAATCAAACAAAGCATAAATCTTCGTTTTACTTGCTTCACTATTCTGAAATATTCTATTTCTCCAAACTCATTTTTTTCTGTAATTTGTTGACAATATAACTTCCTCAAGAATAATCAGGCATTATGGCATAATCATTACTATTAACACTGAAGGTTCTTCAGTGCATTCTGGTGTAATCTACACAAAGACCTTCTTGTAATCAATGAAGCAAAGGTGAAGCTTCTTCTGTTTTCTTGCTTTTTATTATCTATTTTATGATAGCCATCTGATTTTATGTCCCTCTGCTTTTTATAAAACCTATTTCTTTAGTTGGCTGGTAGGGTCTTGCAGGAGACCATCCAGGCCAAAAAAGGGCCACGCTGTCCCATTCCCTCCCCCTCCTCCAGGCAGCCCGCAGAGAAGTACAATGCTGATCTAGCCCTCGAAGAAATCCAGTTTGACACCCGTGGTCTATACTCACCGCTAGGATGTGGCTATTCATCCACATTTCTGAAATTGAATTAAACACAAGAGGGAATAGTAGACATCCCCATTTAGACCTTCTTCCATTTAGAATATCTGAAGAATTGTAATTTTTCTGATTTATGCTTTTATCGTTTTATATATAAAATATTTTATGAAAATTATTGCCACATGCAGAGACTTTTCTCCCCAGAAATAGTCCCTTCACATGTAGATTTTTGGTATATCCAGAGAACTTACAAACAGAAAAACTGAAAACCGTTTTCTGATTATTTTTTTTCTGATTGCTGAAGTAATTGTTTTATAAAAACTATATCTTAAAATACTTTGATTTTTTGTGATGCAGAGGATTGGACTCAGTGGCCAAAATGATCCCTTCCTAATCTGTGATTTTATATTGTGATTATTTTATTGCCTATTATTATTATTATTATTATTATGGCTTGTTGCACAAACAAATGTTCAGACTGGATTTGGCATTTTTATCCACTGTGGATTCCTTCCCAAGTTTATTTTTATCAAAATGATTCTGCTAATATTACTATATGTTCTTAGTTTTTCCATGATCATCCAGAAACTTGAAAGATAGAAGTATAGTTTTCACATATCATAGGAAATATTCTGAATGGTTGTAGCCAGTGGTGGGATCCAAATTTCTTAACAACTGGTTCTGTGGGCATGGCCTAATTTTTGGGTGTGGCTTGGTGGTCATGTGACTGGGTGGGCATGCCTTGGTGATCACATGACTGGCTGGACATGGCCAGGTGGCCATGTGATTAGCAAGTCAAATACAAGTGGTCCTCGCTTAATGGCGGGTTGCTTAGCAAATGTTTATGAATGACCTCCCCAGAGCTACTTGACCTGTTTTTGGAGTTTTGACAGTCATGCGCACGTACACACACACACACACACACACACACACACACACACACACACACACACACCTTCTAATCCTGCTATTCTATGATTCTGTAAGGATCTCCTTACAGAATTGGATGAGAAGATGACCTCCGAGATCCCTTCCAGCCCTAGATTGCTGTACTGTTTCAGAGTCTTCTGAAGCCAGGGTTTGTGTCCTTCCTTCCTCTCCTTTTATTCTCTCTCCCTCCCTCCCTCCCTCCCTCCATGTATCTATCCATCCATATATCTCATTCACTTCCCCCTCCCACCCTCTCTTTTTCTTTCTTTGTCCCTTCCTTCCATCTCTCCCTTTCTTTGTCTATCCCTTTTCTTCCTTTCCTTCTTCTCTTTTTTCTCTTTTCTCTTCCTTTTCTTTCTTGTCTCTCTCTCTCTCATTCTCTTTCCCTCTCTCATTCCCTCTTTTTCTCTCTTTCCCTCTCTTTTTCTCTCTTTCCTTCTCTCTCACCCCCATCTCTCTGTCTATGGCTTCCCCCCCTCTCTGTATCTCTCTCTTTCTGTTTCTCTCTCTGCCCCTCTCCCTATCTTCCCCTCTCTCTCCCCCTCTCTCTGTGTGTGTGTCTCTCTCTCTCTGTCTCTCTCTCTTTCATTTCTTCTTTTTGGAATCCAGACTAGCTGAATAACAATCGCCAGCCGTGGTGGAAGAGTCCCGTCAGGCAACCTTTCTCCTCCTCCCCCCCTCCCCCTCTCATGACCAATGGCTGTGGTGGGGCCGGGAGGGTACACATGCGCGGGGAGACCCTCAAGCGAGCAGCTGCCCGCCCCGCGCCCGGTTTTGCTGTGCTTTGGCACTCGCTTGAGGAGCATCTCCCTGTGCATGTGGACCTTCCTGGCCCCACTAGAGCCACCGGTCGCAAGAGGAGGAGGAGGAGAAGAAGAAGGGGTTGCCCAAAGGGACACTTCCACCATGGCTGGCAATCGTTGTTCAGCCAGTTTGGATTCCAAAAGGAAGAAATGAAAGAAGAAGTGAAGAGTGCCAAGGAGCTTGCTGGCTTGGCCCAGCCGCAGCATTGAGAGAGAGAGAGACAGAGACAGAGACAGAGACAGAGAGAGAGAGAGAGACAGACAGACAGACAGACATAGAAAGTGGGAGACAGAAAGGGAAAGATAGGGACTTGGCTACTTCGCTATCCCCCGCCATCACCTTTACCTTCTCAGGCCAGGCAAGGGAGGGGAGGGTGAGGGGCTGGACCAGCCATTTCAGGCAAGGTGAAGAGGCGGTGACCAAGCACAGATGAGTAGAAACCTGGAAACGGTGGCTCCCAGCTCAGCTGGCCAAAGGGGCTTTGAGATCGGACAGCCTGGAGCAGCCGAGATCCAAGTGAGCATTGCACCGTGGGTTCACCTGAATGCCCACTTCTTTGGTGTTGGCTTTATGGAGCCATGGGATGAGGCCTGGGCTGACGTGCGAGAGCAGCGCCTTTAGCTGCACTCGCTTGTAACTGTCCAGATAATCTGGTGAAGACACCAGAGGAGTCGGTCAGGTAGACCTCTCCCCTCCACAGTCGTCCTCCTGCAGAAGACAGCCGTTCACTGAGCTAAGAAGGCAAGGAGCTGTGGCTCGACTCACCCTAGGACTATCCCATATGGTCCCAATTCAGCACGGAGAGGGTGTCTCCCTCTGGCAATCCCCCTTTCCGTTGGTGCTCTGACTTCCCATGGCCCACTGGCCTGAATGCTGGGTTGGACCACTAGAAGGCCACTTCCCCACTTCTCAGCAGTGCTCTTGTGCCAGCCACTGCAGGACCCTCCACCTCCTTCCCAACTTCTCCCTCAACTTCAAAATGATGCCTGTTGCTGATATAGGTGAGACCGGGCAGGCGTGGTGTGGCCAACCAAGGGCGATTGTTCTGGGTCCAATAAATGAGCTGCAGGCGGGAGAGGGAAGGGGTAGGAGGCAAAGGGGCCATCCAGGCGGCAAAGTGGTCGCCCAGGTTAGGGCGGTAGGCAGCGGCAAAAGGCAAGGGAGGGAGGGGAAGGTGACTGGCAGTGGCAGGTAGGCGACTGGGCCCCAGAGCTTGCAGCGCCTCACTCACCTAGGGAGATCAGGCAGGGCCACAGCGGAAGGCAGGTTGTAATAGCTGGCCTGGTGGGTGGGCAAAAGCAGGCTGCAGGTGGTGCCGTGTATGTGCGACAAGGACTGACTGGGTGGGGAGGGGCTGGCAGAGAGGGGCAGGGCCAGCCAGTGGTGCGATTTGTCGGTTCTCCGAACTGCACAGAATCATAACAACTGGTTCTATAGAACCAGACAGAACCGGTGGAATCCCACCCCTGGTTGTAGCATTCTGTCAGAATGCTGCTAACATCCTTATGATCCTGTTGACCAATAGCATTTTACCAGTCATGAACACGGCAAAAGGAAAGTGGTGTTTTTACTGGCATTAACAACAGAAAACAACCATCCTTATTACAGTTTGAACAGAGCATAATTTTAATATTACTATATGTGTGCATGTATATGTTGTTTGTATTTGTGATTTTCTGTGTGTGCTTTGAAGTCTTGACTCCTAATGACTGGGCAAATCCATTTATTTTCTTGGCAATATTTTTAGAAATAGTTTCCCATTGTCTTCTTCCTAAGGCAGAGGCAGTGTAACTGGCCTCTGGCATTGTGATGGATTGGACAAGAATTCACCATCTCTTTGTTTCTAGTTCTGGGCCTTTTAACCACTATAGCAAAGTGGATTTTTACTCTATTTCCCAGGAAAAGTTGAAATGTTTTCGTTATATGCATATGTATATGAATTGTATGTTTGACCACCGTTCCCCAAAATTATAGTTTCTATTGATGCGGTCAGAATATGATGGGGTTAATGATTGAGTGTTTTATTATTTCCTTTATTTCTTGTACTTCATTAATAAAATTAATTATTTAATATTACAGTTGGCATTAGAGAATTATTGTGCAGAAATTATGAATCCAGCCTTTAGCATTTTATATATATATCTGCAGCAAATGCTTGAGTTCACAAGCAATGAATAGTAATATTTATACATTTATTTAAATATCTCTAGGTTATTTTGAATTAATCTTAGTTTATATAGTTAATTACTTTTGAATAGTAATATAATTTCTGCAAGTAATATTAAAAAGATTTTAAAGTGGCTGAAAAATTAAATATGGTATGTACACTTTGTGGATGATGTGCAAACTTTAACAAACAGATGAGATGGCAAATCAATAATTTTTCAAATTCAGATAGTCTTTATGTAACTATTGCCTTGGTGACTCAGTGGTTAGAATGCAGTATTGCAGGCTAATTCTGCTGACTGTCGGCAGTTTGATCCTCTCCGTAAATGATTGTTGGGGCAATATGTTGACACTATAAACAGATTAGAGAGGACTGTAAAGCACTATGAAGCGATATATAAGTGTATTGTAAGAGCTATTGCCTTGTTTAGTGACCCTTCACAGAATGGTGATGAAAATGTAACTTTGTGACCAACCCTCACGATAACTTTCACAGATGTGTAAAGTGAAGGAAAGTTGAAGTAAAATTATATAAGCACAGTTGTGGCTTTACTTAGGCATCACTTTTCTTAACCAAGTTGCTAATTTCAGTTAGATTCACTTAACAAGGACTACTTGTAATGCAAATTACATCATTTAGTATTGCTCAATTTTAATGTAACATTGTATACCTTTTAGAAGCATTAGCATATAAAACACTAAATAACTAATGGTTATGTTCTCTCTCAGGATCTCTTATTCCAGTACTGAGAAATTGAATTTTGGAAATATTCCCCTTGTTTGTGGACCTCTTGTACTTCACACTCTCAGCACTGCGGTTCTTGAAAACATCGACTTATCATTTGCTGTTAGCCTTTCAATACATCCAAGGAATGTACAATGACATCAGCAGTAGTTCACAATGGAAGTTCAAGCCTGGAATTTGACAGCAATGGAGTACAGATTCAAGGCAAGGTCAGAAAATAGGAGAAGCTGTATGTTCTTCATGTGAATTCAAACTATATTTTGGAAAGAAGATAAAAAAATCAAATGTATGGATAGAAGTAGTTAAAATATTGGGCTAGAACTGTTGGGCAGTTTACCCTCAGTCATGGGACAATTACTACCACTTAGTCCAGCTAATCTTACAGGCTTCCTTCTCTGGAAAAAAAAAAGAAGACAGAGCACTCTTTATGTTGGCTTGAATTTCCCAGGGAGAGGTAGGATATAAATCTAAAAAATAATTTAATGAAAAACCAAAAATCTTGAAAACTTTTAATTATTTCACTGAAATTAAAGAACTCTCTCTTGGCCCAACCCACTTTACAAGGTTGTTGTGGGGAAAACAAGAGACAGGAGTATGTTCACCAACAGGAGTTGATCAAAATGTGTTTTAAAATAATATAAAAATAATAGTATAAATTTGAACCATGTTATTTTTTCTATTCTAATTATTCTTTTACTAATGCACCTAGTCACTTCCAAGTTATGAAAATAAAATGCTAATACATTTCAAATTATGTTTTTCCAAAACTTGGTACATATCTGGTGAGAAGAATGTTTGCATGTTTTTTACACAGATGTATTTTCTCAAATTCATGTCTTATATCCAGATTGATTTGTAAAACAATATTGAAGACATAGGCTTTACAAACAGAAAATGTTGCTTGGATTAAGATGGTGATATTATACACATCTTTCTCACTGTGTTCCACAGGAGAATGAACCAGTTTCTGAATATCCAGCGGTGATTGTGGAGCCGGTACCATGTGCCAGAGTAGAACAAGGATATGCTGCACAGATTTTTGTTTATGATGATGAAACTTACCTGCTACAAGATGTTGCAGAAGAACAAGAAATCGAGACTGAAACTGTGAAAACAGGTAGACTTTTAAATACTTTGCCACAAATGAAAGACTTATTTGGTCTGTTTAACATTTTAATTCAAGATTAAAATTTGCCCTGTTCTATTTAATAGGAGCAATAAGGAAAAGCAAATCTAGAACTTAATAAGTGCAGTTAGATATGATGCACCACATACCAGTTCAGTTATTTCCTGTGTAATTTTTCAGTTTGTATTCCAAAATATGGATAGCTTCTGCTGAGATGCTTACTGTTTTTTGTTTCACTAATAGCATTTTGCAAAAACTAAATATATAGTCAGTCCTAATTTATTTGGATGTAAAATTATTTTGGTGTTTTAATATGCTAATTACTTTGTATTCCTAGGTAGTATAGGAAATATTAAATATTACCTTTTAAAATAATACACGTCCTCGATTTACAACAGTTCATTTAGTGAATGTTTGAAATTACAACAGCATTGAAAATAGTGACTTATGACCATTTTTCACAATTGACTCATATTTGTGATGGTTGCAATGTTCAGGAGTCATTTTGTGACATTCTGACAAGCAGTCAATGGAGAAGCCAGATTTATTTAATGTTTTACTAATTTAACAGCTGCAGTGATTCGTTTAACAAATGTGGCAAGAAAAGTTGTAAATTGGGACAAATTCACTTAACAAATTTCTTACTTAACAACATACATTTTGCACTCAATTGTGGTTGTAGGTTGACCACATTTGGGACCAGAATTTTTCACCCAGTTTCACGAACTTTTTTGTCATTGCAGTTGTTAAGTAAATTAAGTGGTTGTTAACAAATCCAGATTCCCCATTGACTTCGCTTGTCAGAAACCAGCCAAGAAGGTTGCAGATGGTAATCATATGACCTGGGGATGCTGCAGCCATCATAATGCCGGCTGCCTAAATTTTGATCATATGACTGGGGATGCTGTGATAGTCATAAGTGCAAGGACCATAAGTTACTTTTTTCAGTGCTGTTATAACTTTGAATAGTTGCTAAACGAATAGTTCTGGACTACTTTCAAGTTGTAGACTGCATTTTCATAAAGAAAAGCTGAAATTTGTTAGACCCCTTTATTTAGTTTTTGCTCTGTGTAAGCAAGCCTTAAAGGAAAGTATTAGTCAATTAATGTATTGCTTTAAAAATATTACTACTACATGGTTCAAAAAAGTTATGATTAACTGAGGGTACATCTTGCAGGAAGTAATAAATTATAGTTTATAGATGAGTAGAGTAGATGAGTAGTAATTAGGTTCACATTGCACACTAAATTGTATAACATACTACAGTAGTCAAAATCAATCATATATGACAACAAAACCTCAATTTAACATGGCAGAAGGTATCTTTTCTATCTGAAAATATGCCAATTTACATCATTTACCCAATTATATCATTAGCATTTCTGGCATCCATTTATAATCCTGATATAATGGACGAACCCTCAATTTAATGGACAATAGTCTTGTAAAGGAGAAGTTTGAGCAAAAAGTTTTATTTTTCTGAGGTCATTAAACTGAGGTCTAATAAATTGAGGCTTTACAGTACACTCACTGAGATGTGTACATGCATTTGTTAACTTTAACATTAATAGCTGGTGAGAGCATAAAACAATCCATTAAATGAACTGTAAACAGTTAAATAACCATTAAATATACTTTACAGGCAGTCCTTGACTTACGAGCACAAGTGAGCCAAAAGTTTGTTGTTAAGTGAAATATTTATTAAGTGAGTTTTGCCCCATTTTATGACCTTTCTTGTCAGTTGTTGAGTGAATCACTGCAGTTGTTATGTTAGTAATCAGGTTGTTAAGTGAACATGGCTTCCCCATTGACTTTGCTTGTTAGAAGGTCACAGAAGGAGATCATATAACTTTGGGACATAACAATGGTCATAAATACGAACAAGTTGCCAAGCATCCGAATTTTCATCACATGATCCTAGGGATGCTGCAAAAGTGGTAACTTTGAAAAACAGTCCTAAGTCACATTTTTCAGCGCCATTGTAACTTTGAATGATCACTAAACAAACTGTTATAAGTCAAGGATTACAGAATAATGTCAAGTTTTATTGCAAACAATGCAATTTACAATAATTTTACATTAGTTAGATCAATTTTATAGCTATGCAAATGTCCTACCAATTTATGTAAATTCAGATTTAACAGAAGTTTAGATTTAGAGTATAGGTAGCCCTCTATAGGTAGACCACAATTGAGCTCCAAATTTTCACTGCTAAGCAAAACGATTTGTTAAGTGAGTTTTGCCACATTTTATGCTCTTATTGCTACAGTTATTAATCACTGCAGTTGTAAAGTTTCTAACATGATTGTTAATCTGGTTTTCCATTGACTTTGCTCATCAGAAGATGGCAAAAAGTGATCACAAGATCCTGCATCACTGCAATTGTATCATAAATACATGCCAGTTGCCAAACATCCAAATTTTGCTCACATATTCATGGGGATGGTGCAATGGTTAAGTGTGAAAAACTGTCATAAGTCACTTTTTTCAATGCAAGTGTAAGTTCAAGCGGTCACTAAACAAATGGCTTTAAATCAAGGATTACCTGTAACTACACCCATGCCCCCCAATTGCATGTTAAATCGAGGCTGTACTGAATTTTATTCAGAACAAAGCTATAATGCAATTTATGGAAATTTATGTTTTGTGATTTTAGTTAAGATATATCAAGAGATTTGTCTGGCTTGTAAAGCAAATATTGTGATTTAATACAGTGAGATTATATAGGAATATTCATAGGATTTGGATCTGTGTTAATGCAATATATATTTTAAAAAGCTTCCTTTAAGGCTTGGCAACTAGGAACAGACTATTTCAATTAAGTGGGTAATATACAAGATTCTTTGTGAACGATCACACAAGTTCAATATTGCTTTTGATACGTATAGTATATTTATATTCCAAAGCTCCAAAAGTGTACTTCTTCTATTTTAAGGAGACTCATAATTATGTAATTAGAGCTTAAAGTTCACAAAAATCTTTGATTTTAAGATACTGAGGTAAAATAAGTGATGGCTTAGCAATTAAAGACATTGACTTTGTCAACTGGAAAGCTGAGAGCCTGGGTTTAAGATTCAAGCATTGCTTGATAGGGTGAACTTGCATTGCTTGTTGCAGCTCCTGCCCCACAGAAAGCATGCAAATACAAGTAGATAAATAGGTATTAGTTTGGTGGCAAGATAACAACATTCTGTGTGCCTTGTTGTATAGTCAGGCTGGCCTCATGACTATAGAAGCGTCTTCAGATAATGTTGCTCCTTTGGTTAAAAAATGGAGATGAGCACTGTCCCTACAGTTGTGGACAGAGGAAACGTTTAACCTTTTAAGAAAATCCTTAGTGTAAGATTTTGTATGAGTAATCTTATAAATTAGATATTCAAGTTATCTTTAAGGCTTCTCAAATAACACTGCTCTGTGTCACATTGTAAACTGCTTAGGACATATAGTAATCAGTATTTATATACAAAAATTACTTGAAGAGAAGTATCAACAATCCTATGGGACATGGGGGTAGTGATGGGGCAGTTGGCCTATATATTAATATTTTTTTTTAAAAAAAGCTATCTCACTAAATCTCTGATCTACGTCCATGTAAATTTAGTGCTGGGGTAAGTATGGAAGTTTATTTTTCTAAAATAGGCTTAAAAAAAAAACACTTCAGTGTGAAACTGAAGTTTAGTAACTGTAGTTTACTGTTATGAGTTATGGGTAGAACTCATTTAGCGACACATTTGATACTGGCAACTTAGTTTCTAGATGATGTAATCATTAAGTGGAAAATCATGTGACCACAACTGTGCTTATGATTTTATTTCACCTTTCCTTTTCTCTCACTCCTCTGGCTTTACTCAACTGAGCATTGGGATAATTAACAAGAAGGGAATTAATGTTTGAATTTACATTCACTGTAGAGGAAGGGATTTCAAGAGTAAGCAGGCACCAGAAGGAATGCTCCCAGCAACAAGCTATTTAGGAGGCAAACCAAAGCTCAAAGTGTGAAAGTGATTAAAGTCTTGTCTGTTGTAGGAAGCAGTTACCAGCCAGCTAATTAAAGGCACATATCTGAGCTCATTAACTTGGTATTAGCACCTTTGGGGGCTGAGTTTTTGTTCACCGAAAAAGCAACTCAGTGATTGTTTAAGCAATTTTGGCATTCTGTGTGTGAATAAAACAAGAAAAATGTATCAGACACAGGACAATGCATACTAACTGTTTGTAATGGTGAACATGTAACTGTGAGAGATGCTGCAAAGGTTGTGAACACACCTCTTGGTTGCAAAATTATTTTTTCAGCACCTTTGTACCTTCAAACGGTCATTGCATGAAGCAATCAGTAAGCAATGTTTATTTAGCAGCACATCCCCAAAGATTTGTTGCTATTAGAACTAATGTTGATTTTTAAGATTAAGTTTAGGTTTTACATAGAAACAATAATTTATCTTAATTACAATATCATTTAGTTAGCTAAAAATTACCGTAGGTAGATGTATAAAAAAATAAGATAAGAACTTAGAATTTCATCTTGAGATTCTTTGAACAAAATTTTTGTAAATATAAGTATAGAGATTAATGCTATTGATTTATAAAGCTTTATAAATATGCTTTAGTTTAGGAATTGTCAAAGTTTATTTTACATGATCCCTCAGATTTTATATAATCTCAAATGAATAACACTAAATAAGTAAATTATATAAAAGTACTGTAATTAGAAGTACTTCCCATTTTAGTACTTTGGCTAAATAAAGTACTTTAGTATTTTAATTTATTGTATGAAAATAACATAGAAGTCTTTTTAGTGAGTTGGATCCAGAATTCCTTCATAAGATAATTCTTTTTATTGATTTCTCCTTCTTATTCTGTAGAAGAGAGAGATCTCCTAAAACTATAAAGGCAATGAGGTGGTACAGACCCCTGGATAAGGTTGAATGACCAAAAATTGTGTCCTACTTTGCTCCAATGGGCTATTTCCATTTTTCCTTCATCCAAGCAAG